TATATATGCTTACTGAATAAATCCCTGTATGGACTTAAACAGTCCCCTAGACAATGGTACAAGGGGTTTGATGCATTCACAATAGGAAATGGATTCACAAGAAGCATGTATGATAACTGTTTCTATTTTGCCTGTATGAATAACATGCCAATCTATCTCTTGCTATATGTAGATGACATGTTAATAACTAGCAAGTCCATGTCTCAAATTAATGCTTTAAAGGCCAAATTGAGTACTGAATTTGATATGAAGGACTTAGGGAAGGCAAAGAAAATACTAGGAATGATGATTGATAGAGATAGAAGTGCAAATACTCTTAAACTCCATCAATCCTCATACTTACAGAAACTGGTCTTAAAATTTGGTATGAATGAATCCAAAGCAGTGACAATGCCCTTAGCAAACCATTTCATACTTAGTAAGTCACAATCCCCAAAAACAAACTCAGATAGACTGAAAATGGAGAATGTCCCTTATTCTAATGGCATAGGTTTTGTAATGTATTCCATGATATCCACCAGACCTGATTTAGCATATGCAATATCACTATTAAGCAGGTTCATGTCAAATCCTGGAAATAAACATTGGAATGCTTTAAAATGGTTGACAAGATACATTAATGGCGCTGTTAAAATTGGTTTAATTTTCTGTAAAAGATATGCATCACTTGATCTGGTTGGGTATGTAGATGCAAATTTTATAGGTGATGGAGACTCTAGGAAGTCCACAACTGCTTATTACTTTACATTGGGAGGTAACTGTGTTAGTTGGAAAGCACAGTTGCAACCTCTGGTTACACTATCCACTACTAAAGCAGAGTACGTAGCAGTTTCAGATGCATTCAAGGAAGCAACATGGTTTCAAGGGATTCTAAAAGAAGCTGATCTATTGAATGGCATAGCAACAGTTTACTCTGACAGTCAAAGTGCCATTCATTTGAGTAAGAACCCAGTGTATCACGAACGAACAAAACATGTGGTTGTCAGGCATCACTTCGTCAGAGACCTGATTGCAAAGGGAGAAATTAATCTTTTGAAGATGCCTACTAAAGATGATCCAACGGACATGGGAACCAAAGTGGTGACCACAGCCAAGTTCAAGCACTGCTTGAACTTGCTTCACATCAGATAAACACTTTCCTTTAGAGCTGAGAAGAAATATGTGATAGCTTACTGCACTAAAAAGGAGTCCAGAAATTGAAAAGAAGAAAGGAAATAAATGGAAGGAAGAAAGTTGGCTTCAAGGTGGAGACTGAAAATAATGTGAAGCCAAAATGGGGTCATTTCATTTAAGTTCATTGGTGGAATTCTAGCCGTCAGATCAAGATAGATCCAAGGGCTGATATTTACTGATATGGGCATATATAAAGAAAGCAACAGTGATGTGAATGATGAACGCATTTTTTGTTAATCAGAAATTAGGGTTTGTGAGAGGGGAAAAATAGAGAGAAACTAGGGTTGAGTATTTGCTGGGTCTTTCTGGGTATAATCTGGGTAGATTTGAAGAGGGTTGCGTTTCCTTCTTGAGGCTGGTTTTTGTCCTCTGTTTCTTGCAGATTCTTGAGAGATTCTTGAGCAAATAGGCCTAGGTTGAGGGTTGATCCGTTTTGGCAGATTTGTATGGTTGTCTTCTTGTAATCGTTGGATATTCTTTTAGTGCTGTGAGTATCCGTATTTCGGAGCTCAACGTGGATGTAGTCTATCCAAGATTGGATAGACGAACCACAGTAAATTCGTGCCTTGATTTTGTGTGTGTTTGGTTCTTTGATCTTGAATCTTGTTTATGTTTGTTTGTGTTGCGAATTGGTTTTAGGCTTAGGTTATAACACCGATTATACACATTGAAGAAATTAGGAGATTTGCATTCATTATTCACATAATTACAAAATTGAAAATTAAGAAAGAGAACTTATTTATATTAAAAATCTCAAAAACACCATAGTGGATTGTCGTGGGATAGCTTTCCTTAAGATTTAGTCAAAGTGTGTGTAAGCTGATCTAAACACCTTAGTTAACCAAAAAAAAAAAAAAAAATCTCCAAAATAAATTCAAACAAAAGATTTCTTATTATTAACAAATACAATAACCTCTATATAGTGATACTCTATTATAATTTTCTAATTTTCGTCTCATAGTAATAATTATCTGTATATTGCAAAAAAAAAAAAAAAAAAAACATCTATGTTACTGTAAAGGTTTAGGATGATATTTATCTAAAGTTGTTTGAAATAATAATTTATACTTTAGAGTTATTACTACATCTTTTTAACTTGTGGCACAATAACTCATTAGTATGAACACCTTTCTGTTGAAACCAAAAAATTTATGGGTGCATTTGATTCAATATTTCTACCCATATTCCCAATTCTATTCCCCAAATATTGTTTGGCACATTATTTGAGAAATATTAGTGTATTTTTTAATTACTTTTAGACTCCTTAAGTTTGTTAATTTCATTAAATACCCCTAAAAAAAGTTTAAAAATTAGCAAAAACACCCCCACCCACCCATATTTTCCAGATTCCGGCAACCACCGTCGGTGGTAACCAGAATTTGTCACAACGGCTTACACCAAGACCGAAAATGGCCGGTTATTCATCAATCTGACGGCTAAATCTTGGTCATCGTTAACCGACAATGACGGCCAAAGATGGATCTTTGCGGTAGTCGATGACCACATCTAGCCGTAGATCTGGCCTTTTCCGACCAGATCCGTGGTGGATCTGACCGAAAAAGGCCATATCGATGCGTTACAACACAGATCCGTCTGGTCTGTGTTGTAAAGCAATTTTCCAACCAGATTTCGGCGATGGTGGCCAAAATCTGGCATTGCGGGTGATGGGGATGTTTTTATCATTTTACACAATTTTTATATATTGGGGTGTTTAATTAAATTAGCAAACCTAAGGGATTTTTTAGAAATTTTTAAATTTTACCTCGTAATACTCCCCTATTCAACTACCCAATATGATTCCCAAAATCCTATACAAAATAATAAACCAAACGCACCCTATTATTTTTCAAACATGTTTTTAGAGCTTCTTGGCATGAAACATTTTATATTTCCGTACTATCATCCTCAGGATTATTTCCTTTCTTTTCTTGTGTAATTGTAGCAATGTCTACTAAAATAATTAATTGAAATTCTAATACATACTACTAAAACGTGAATTATAAAATAATTAAATCAAAACAATAATTTTTGTAATTACACCTCTATTAAGTTATAAACTCCTCATAGTAATAAAATTAATTTGTCCCACCATTATGAGTATAAAGAGATTTTATTGTATTATGATAAAAACAAGCAAGAACAAGAAATATAAATTATTTGTATTTTCTTTGTATTTTCTTCAAGTTGTGAAAGAGAAATATCTTAAAATTAAGGTGATTAAAAAATCGACTAATAAATCAAATTTTGGGTTATCTTAAGTTCTTAACGTGTGCTCTAATGTCATTATATAAAAAAATAAAAATACGATAATAACAATGTATTAAAGAAAACGTTTTTTTCGTTATCTAATAAATAAAGTGTACCGAAATTAACGAATAGGTTGGTTTTTTTTATTGTTTTCAAGAAGAAAAAAGTCAAAAGAAAAAAAAGGAAAATGGGACTCTCTCTTTTTATGCTGAAGGACAACTCCCATTATATATTGACAACAAAATATTTAGGATTCATTTGGTTCATTATTTTGATACTTTTTAAAATAATATTTAAAAAAAATTAAATTAGGCAAATATTACAATATATGATTTGAAAATTAATAAAAATATCTCTTATGTTTATTTATTTACTAAACACCCTTATAATAAAATATTAAAAATTAATAAAAACACCCTCAACCTATTCATTAAATATAGACAATCGGCCACCATAGTCAGAGGGTTGTTAGGGTATTTTTGTAATTTTTTAAAAAAATATTTAAAAATATTTGATTAAATTAATAAATTTAAAAGAATTTAAAAAAATTAAATAACATAGGATAATATTTTGAGAATAAATCAATTATACTAATACTAATCGTTCTCAAAAGTATAACAAACGTAGCCTTAGAATTGTGGACATTACTTTGGACTTCCTCAATAATGAAATCCCTTTTTTTGTACCACTCATTGTGGAAATCTGACACAGACTTTTATCCTTTTCCTTAAGAACAAATTGCAACTAGTTTCTTCTCAAAAGTGCTGCCACATGCCTTCACGGATCAAGATTCATGTTAAGAACACGTTAACATAATAAGATTAATGCTGGAGAAAGATAACTCGGAGATCTTCACCAACTTTCTTAGTATAGACGTCATAAAATTTACAATATATTTATCAAGAGCTAGTAATATAGATTTTTTGAAATATTTGACCAGGGGAGTTTTGTATTTTGTCAACAATAATTCTTTTTTTTTTAATTAAAATATTTAGACTAATTTACACGTATTTTAATTATTTTTTTGAAAGAAATTAGCACAATAATCTATTGTCATGGGTCATGGCCCAGAATAACTCTTCTACATAGCTTATAACTTTCACTAACTTTTCTCAAAATCTCAGAGGGTGTTTAGTTGGAATCCTATTTTAAGTAAAGATTTTTGTGATTTCAGAGGATTCAGTTATATGGGACGCAGAACTCAAATATTTTACGAATGAGTGATCGTTCCTATCCGACCATGGTTAAAAGACTCTTTATCTGTACGATAAAAATTTCTAAATGGTAATGATTTCAATAATATTACACCTACGATTCATATAACCAGGTTTTCTGGTCCGACTATTAATTTTCAAATAATTAATTAAGAATAAAGTAACCTTTCGTGATAACATATTTTATAAACCATTTGTCAAAGCAGATAGTTTTCGAAGAACTAGTCTTCGGAGAGGGAGAGTCGTATCCGACATTAATATGCGCTCAATTTCCAAATTATTATGTATGACAGACAAAAAAATAAAGTTGATGTGCTGTCTCTAACATGTCCTAATGGCCAATAAAAATACGATATGTTTCATAAAATTTCTAAGAGAACTCTTCTATAAATAGAGTTTCTCCATGGCCAAACCTTGTACAGAAAAAATATGGACAAGGGTTTGTTGGATAAAAAGGGAGAAGAAGTTTCAAGTGTTGGAAATGGAAGACATATTGGAGCTGGCGAATATGTAGAAGAAGTGAAGAGGCTTAGCTGCATAGCTGGACCCATGGTGGCTGTGAACTTGTCACAGTACTTTCTGCAGGTCATTTCAGTGATGATGGTTGGGCATCTCGGTGAGCTCTCTCTCTCCAGCACCGCCGTAGCCATCTCCTTCTGTGCTGTCACTGGCTTCAGCCTCCTTGTAAGTCTAGTCTCTTCCATTTACCTTTCCTGAGAATGATGTGATATCCCATTACCTACTTCCTCTGGACTAGCTCAATAGGTATTCTTGATTCATTTTTAAGGATGAAGTCCTGGATTCGAATCAAGGAGACGCGCTCTGAGCCCCACAAGAGAAAGTGAGTTTGGGATGTTACAGATTATTTTTACTATGTAGTGGAGTCTGAAAATTAATGGAATCTTGTGATGTGTGGAAATGGCAAACAGTTTGGAATGTCAACTGCAATGGAAACTCTATGTGGGCAAGGTTCTGGAGCTCAGCAATATAGAAAACTAGGAATACAAACACACACTGCTATGTTTTCTCTAATTCTGGTTTGTTTCCCTGTGTCTATATTGTGGATTAACATGGGGAAACTTCTGATTTTGATGGGGCAAGACCCTTTAATTTCAACTGAATCTGGTAAATTCACAGTGTGGCTTGTGCCTGCACTTTTTGGATATGCAGCTCTTCAGCCACTTGTTAGATATTTTCAAGTGCAAAGTTTGATCACTCCCTTGCTCATGAGCTCTTGTGTCACCATTTGCTTCCACATTTTTATCTCTTGGGCTCTGATTTTAGAGTTTGAGCTGAACAATATTGGAGCAGCTCTAGCAATTGGTATGTCATATTGGTTGAATGTGCTGTTACTTGGATTGTACATGATGTACTCTTCAAGCTGTGAGAAAACCCGAGTGCCGGTATCGATGGAGCTATTCCGAGGAATAGGAGAGTTCTTTCGCCTCGCCATTCCTTCTGCTTTTATGGTTTGGTAACTTCTCCTTGCCCATTTTCATAATTTGTAGTGTAATTTCAAGATGCAATTTGTATTTTGATTTGATTCCTTTTATTGTAATGCTGATGACTGCAGCCTTGAATGGTGGGCTTTTGAGTTTCTCACCTTGCTGTCTGGACTTTTACCAAATCCGAAGCTTGAAACTTCAGTTTTATCAGTGTGGTATGTTCTCTGTCAGTGTACTATATTTAGAAGTTGGGATTTGGTACACGTATTAGCTCTAGGATTACTACGATTAAAATGAGAAGCAGTTCCGTCAAAAAACCATAACTGATTTAACGAGCCATTCCCAATTTCAAGGTCTGAATTTCTATTTATGTACATTGATGAGATTTTCTTTTTCCCTTCTTAAACAGTTTAACAACAATCACAACACTTTTTACAGTATCAGACGGGTTCGGTATCGCAGGAAGGTTTGGTTTAACGTGTACATCGTGCATAACAGCACTGTACAAATCTTCATAATTCTGAAAAAGATTTTCTTGTTCTTGTGCAGCACTAGAGTTTCAAATGCATTAGGAGCTGGAAATCCACAAGCAGCTCGCGTAGCTGTCCGCACCGCGGTATTTCTTACTGTTTTAGAGACAGTCATAGTAAGCTCAATTCTGTATGCTAGCCGGCATGTTTTTGTTTACCTTTTCAGCAATGACAAGGAAGTTGTGGATTATGTCACAAAGATGGCTCCTCTGATATGTCTCTGTGTTATGTTAAACGGCTTCCAAGCAGTTCTTTCCGGTCAGTTCTGGCTCTTGATTCCCCTTCTGCTACCCATTCACATACATATTCTTGAATTATATCCGAATCCTTCGGTAATTTGATGGCACGGTTGTTCAAATGTTCAGGCATTGCTCGGGCCTGCGGGTGGCAGGACTTGGGGGCTTATGTCAACCTCGTTGCATACTATCTTTGTGGGATCCCAGTTGCTGCAATTTTAGGCTTCTGGTTACAATTGAGAGGGCAAGGACTCTGGATTGGCATTCAAGTTGGAGCTTTTGTGCAAAGTGTTTTACTCGCTATCTTAACGAGCTGTCAAAATTGGGAGAAACAGGTCAGCCGCTCCAATGTTCAATTCTTCTCTAATCCTTTGATAGTATTCTGATTTTAGAATAATAAATTTTTATTGTTTTATTGGCGTTTGATCATGCAGGCCGTTAAAGCAAGAGAGAGGATATTTGAGGGAAGATCTTCAGCTGATAATGAACAATTTTCTGTGAATTAGCAGAAAATTAACATTGATTTGCAAGAGAAAGTTACTTAAGTAATAAGATTAGAATCCTTACTGAAAAATTATTGGTTTAATTCAGATTTACGACTCCTGAGGGGTTAATGGAATGGTCAGACTTGTGGTTTGTTACTACAGCGTATGAGGTTTGAATCCTCTCGTTAATGCCTGCAACTTCCCAAATATTATAGAGTGCAATGATTCTCCAGTTCAGTATTAACCCCTATCAAGCCATAAAAATTGGTTGATTTTGTTGGGAAAAAAATCTTGACAACTCAAATGCAAAATTAAAACAAACAACTAAAAATAAAGAAAACCAAAACACAAGAATTTTAAAGTGGTTCAGCCCAATCAATTTAGTCTACGTTCACTGTCTACTAAAACAATCCATTAAGTAAAAGTTTACAAATGTGCAATTTTTAGAAGAGAAAAATTGCAAACTCTCTACACTATCCCAAAAAACCCAACCACATATATACACCTTCATATAAAAGAATTAAATTACTTTATTCATATTTTCTATAATTCATTTTCTTCTCACCCAAACAAGAAGAAAAAAGTAGTAAAAATTGATAATTTTGAAGTAGGAGATCAAGGTTTTAAATTCCTCTCTGTGTTCTATTTCTATTATACATATTGAAGAAATTAGGAAGATTTGTATTCATTATTCACATAATTACAAAATTGAAAATTAAGAAAAGAGAACTTATTGAAAATTACATTGATGTTGCAAAAGTGAACTACCCTTATTAGGTAATAAACTAAGTAGGAAGCATACTGAAAACAACTTCCTAATCATATAAGCTAAACCCCATATTATCATTGCTCTCTTCTTGGGGCTCTTCCTGCATTTTAGCTATTATGCCTAAAAAGTCAGGGCTGACGTGGAGTCTCGTCAGCAAGAGCTAATCAGAATTTAGGAAGGCTTTGTCACGTCACGCAATGACGGAAGAGATATGGTTCTCGTCAGTGCAGTAGGTGAGGTGCCAGGCTTGCGAGTGGCTAGGAATCGTCCACCTGCCCAAGCCCTATGCAATTTAAGGATATCTCTTGTGCAGACAACTAATGGGAAGTGGGTTAGGAATCGTACCACACCTACTTGGTTGCAGATTCATGATTATTACCTTGAATCCCTTGAATCCTCCCACTATAAATAGAGGGATCCTCTCTTATTCAAGGGATTGGCTTATCTTTAGTCTTAAACAACATACACACACTCTCTCTCTCTCTCTCTCTCTCTCTCTCTCTCTCTCTTGGTTGTAACTGAGCTCGTTACCATGCGACCTGACTATAACCACTTATTAATGCAACTACAGTGGACGTAGGAATTGCTTTTGAGCATCCGAACCACTTTAAAAACCGTCTTTTATTTACTCTCCTGCTTCATATTTCCATATCACATGTAAGTTCTAAGCTGACTTAGCATTTTGCACGTGTGAGTCATTGGTGTCAAAATCCAGCATCAACAGTTTGGCGCTAGAAGGAGGGCCTGATTTAGTATATGCTCTTCATCAAAAACCTCTAACCAATCGGTCCTACCCATCAGCAGATGGTTTGCGGTTTCAAAACTGAGTGAACCGACTTTGACAATGAGGAAATCCCCCGGGTACAAGATGACACTTCTCCTTAAGTGTCTCTAGTCCAACAGAGTATCATGGCAGATATTCCTTCAAGCTCACAACTCAACCCAGCCATGATGAGTTATTTGGAGAGGTTCAATAATACTCTCCAAATGATTAGCCAAAGGCTAGACCGTTTGGATTGGGTCGTGCCGCTAGAGACCAATGAAGTGGTGTCACTGCCAAAGATGCCTAGAGGTCACACGAAAGCTCGGAAAAGGGAAAAAGCTCGTACTGTGTGCACTGCAGTGTGCAAAATTAAGGGAAAGCAAGTGGCGAGTAGTGGACCGAAAGGCTCCGGGGGACTAACGAACATCAGTCGTGGAACGGGCAGAACACCCGTGGCATTGCGACCCAATGACATGTCGCGGCATGAGCCGTCCCACGCCACATCGCATAGGCACTCCCACAAAAGTGCAAGCCAGGAAGATTCCCAATGTCGAAATGATGACCTTGACCGTCATCATGCAGGAAACCCCCATTGTCCGCAAGTAGGTTCGAACCACCGCGGAGATCGGGAAAACTCCCCAAGCCATTCAATGCCTTCACATGGCCCTAGCCAACATGTGTCAAGGTTCATCGAAGCTTCCAGCCGAGTTGAGGAAGAGCTTAATTTGAGGTCTTTCCTCAACCGCAACCATGAGGGTCGAACCCACATTGCACAAAGTGATCCCCAGGCAGCTCCGTTACCTCAGATTGAGGAACTATAGCGAGCTTTGGATTAGCTTAAGGCTCAGCAGAATGAGTATAGGACGGTCACAGAGGCATCTCCATTTTCTCCAACAGTTTTAGTTGTTCCTCTCCCATCGAGATTCAAAATACCCGACATGCGGGCATTCGATAGGAATTCAGATCTGCAGGATCACCTTTATGAGTTCAATGACCTCATGAAACTCCACCAAGTCTCCAACTTGGCCAAATGTCGCTGCTTAGTAGTAACCCTATCTGCCCATGCCAAACGCTGGTTCAGGTCGCTTCCCGCGAGATCAATTAGCTCATGGCATCAAATGAGCTCATCATTCCTAAGACACTTCCAAACAAACAGGAAGTTCTTGATGCCGTTGAGCTACCTGAGCAACATACGGTAGGAGAGGGATGAAACCCTCTAATCTTACAAAGACAAATTCCACAGGAAACTCCACAAAGTGGCTCATACTTCCAAGGAATCCATTTGAACTCTCATTATCGTAGGGGTTCACCCACAGACTGACTTGTGGAAGGAACTGCAATCCGAGGACGATGTTTCCCTCACTCGCTTTTATAACCTCACTGAGAAATATCTCCGAATCAAAAACTTTGGGGCCGCTCTTAACTGCGGAGACCCCGATCCCTCGACTAATGCTCCTGACCGGGGGGAGAATAGTAGAAGGGCTGATCGCAGATGGGCTAATGACGATTAACGAAAAGGAAAGAAGCAGCGATTTGAGCCCAAAAATCTTATGCCGTAGTTCCTCGTCATGATTGCAACAAAAGTCAATACACTCCTTTGAATGCCTCAATGTCGGCTATTCTAGATAAGTCAGAGGAGACCAGCCTACTCAGAAAGCCAGAGCCTATGAAGAATCCCCTCTCAACTAGGAACAACAAAAAGTACTGCCGCTATCATCAGGATAATGGACATCACACCAATGAGTGTCGGGCTCTCAAGCAAGTAATCAAAGACCTTATCAAGCAGGGCAACTTCAAAGAGTATGTTAATAGTCAAACTCCTGTTCGGGAAAAAGATCAAGAGGAACAAGGAAAGAAGCGTCGTGGTCGCAAGGGTCTCTACTGTGTAAGGATCATCTTTGAAGGATCGCACCTCGCAAGGAATTCTCGAGGTGCCTAGGAGAGGTATGCTCGAGAAGCTCGTCATGACCCTGTGAGTGTAATGAGCACGGTATCGTGACCCGCTAAGGTTCGTAAGGAAGAGGAGACACTTTCTCTAAGAAAGACATGGTGAGATTGCATCATCCCTATAAGGATGCACTCATCATTGCGCCTGAAATAGGTCGGTGCAAAGTCCACAGAATGTTGGTGGACAATGGAAGTCCTATGAATATCCTGTTTTAGTGAGCTTTCGAGAAAATGCAATTGGACGAGGTAGACCTGAAGCCTGCCTCTATCCTTCTTTATGGTTTTACTGGGGATTATTTGATTCCTAGAGGAACGATTTCGCTCTCGGTCACGTTGGGTGAAACCAACGAAATGACCAAAATGATGGATTTTTTTTGTGATGGACAGTCTGTCCGCCTTCAATGGCATTCTGGGATGACCTCTATTGCAAAATTTCAAGGCAATCACCTCCATTTCCTATTTGAAAATGAAGTTCCCAACCCCAACGAGGATCAAGGAAGTATAAAGATCTCAATCCGAATCTCACAACTACTACATAAGAGTAGTACAGATGGCGTGCAAGGGAAAAGGAAGGCTAATAAGCATCCTCGAGTAGGCTATAGCGATCAACAACATCGAGCCATAGCCCAACCTAGTAGAGGACAACATGGATCCTCGCATCCAAGAGTGCCCTCACAGTGGGCTAGTTGAGGACTTATCTGAGGTGTCAGTCAATCAAAATGAGTCGACCCGAGTGTTGAGAATTGGGAGTAATCTCAAACCTTAGCTCGCCAAAAACCTGACAAGCTTCCTCAAAGAGAATGCCGATGTTTTTGTATGGACTCATGTTGACATGATCGAGATCAGCCCGAATGTCATATGTCATGCCCTCAACATTGATATGCAATCAAGCCGGTTCACCAGTAGATAAGAGCTATGGACCCTAAATGCTATGTTGCCTTGAAAACTAAGGTAGATAAGCTCCTTTTGAATGGGTCCATCCAAGATGCTCTTTACCCAAGATGGGTTGCCGATCCGGTCTTGGTAAAGAAGCCCAATGGCAAGTGGAAAACCTGTGTCGACTTCACCGGCCTTAACAAAGCATGTCCGAATGACAGTTTTCACTTGCCAAGGATCGATTAGCTAGTCGATGCCAACTCCGAGCATGAGCTGCTTAGTTTTATGGATGCCTACTCAGGATATAATCAGATCCTGATATACACATCGGATGAAGAGCATACCTCGTTCGTTATAGATCGGGGACTATATTGTTACAAGGTCATGCCCTTCGGCCTAAAAAATGTTCAGGAAACTTATCAGCGGTTGGTTAACCGTATGTTTTCTAAATAGATCAAAAAGTCGATGAAAGTTTATGGTGATGACATGCTGGTCAAGTCGCATGTCCTTTCAGATCACATAACATATCTCGCTGAGATGTTCGACATACTTTGAGGGTATAGAATGAAGCTCAATCCTCTTAAATGCTCATTCGGAGTATCTTTAGGAAAGTTTATGAGGTATATGGTTAACCAGAGGGGAATCGAAATCAACCCCAAGAAGATCCAGACTCTCATTGATATGAAAAGCCCGACCAACCGAAAACAGGTTTAGAGCCTAAATGG